GTTACATATCGGCCTATCGGAACGTTTGTCTAGTGACGTAAAAGGTAAAGCTGGCCTTGTAACAGGCCGTCGGTGCTTGCATATTTTATATTTTCTAGCCAATCGGCTCACATGGTGGTGAGATTCCTGGTACCCATTTCTGTTAGAGGCTAAGTCTACCCTAGGGCCGTAGTGGGGCCGGAAATCTAATGACCTCATCGGGAATCGAACTCGCGACTTTCCGGCTTGCAGCATAGTGTCTCAACCAACTACACTACCGTATGGCTCCCTGTCGAGTGACGTACGTAAATAAAATGTATGTTGCTGCAGAATAAGTTCTACATTAACCTTCGCTTGTTAAACTGAACACTGCGACGAATTTGTAATGCACAGCATTATTATGGGAAATAGTCGCGTATCTGTATTATACCACTAAGTTTCATTTTCAGTGTTTTCGTCCGAGAAATGTGCAGGCTACGTTTCAGAGCGATTAACAGATGCAATACAAGTAGTAATAACATGCCGAAATCTTAATTGTTACTAATTTACTTCCTGACGAAATACTCTTACCTATGTAATTTAGCTGTGTTAATAACACAAAATTTTTGTTTGAAGGTCTGTGGTCCGATAAACGATACGTTTACGGGCTAATGCAAAACATAAGCAGGGCTGTGTGGCTTTACTTTAATGAATACAGTACTGACAACATTCCAGACTTGTTTGTATGGTTTAATCATACATGGATGTGTTCTGACAAATTTGAAAACGATCCAACACTCATGTTTAATGCGGACCCTTAAAGTCGGCCCTAATTGAAACTACATCGTGAAATTTAGTGCTGGAACCCACTGCGTACTGTACCGTGTAGTTGGAAATATGCTTCAATTCCTGGATGCTGTGGGCTTACATGGCGCATCATTCCGCAATAAATATTGTTAAATTGCAAAAACTCGTACATCTGCATTGAGAACAGGGCAAAGGATGGAAATTTAAGAAGTTACATACTGTATGTCTCTGCTTCCCGCACACTTGTAATCTGTAGTAACAAGACTTAGGCCGAACGGCCAACGTTTTATATCCGTGGGGTCTGAGGTTCTCGCATCGGTGATTATGAAGAGCTCTGTCTCCTGGGATATAACGCTGTGTATCCTACCGAAAATCAACCGACATTTCGGAGAACATGTCGCCTCCGGGCCGAAGAATAAGCCAAGAAAGAAACCAGCGCGAGGCAGGAAGAAAGCTCTGCTTGCAATCTCTCTCCGATCCTGCTTTCGGTTTACATGAAATGTGTGTTAACAGAAAGGCGAAGTTGTCAGAAATCGACTTTATCTACGAAACTGACCACGGTGGTTCGATGTGTGTTCTATCTGTGTATATTTACGACCCACTGGCGATGTTAAATTTAATGCTACCGTAACCCATTTTGTCTTGCTGTTTATTCACGTCACATCCATTTACTTCAAAGTTTTCGACTGGAACTATTAACGTGATTGCTAGTTCAGTCATAAGGGTGGGCAGGGAGTGGCTTGCATAAGATAATGTCTCAACAGATTTGAGAATCCGGCCTCGAAGATTTCGATAGACGAATTTATCATGTGATAAAGTGACCATAGACGGGGTTTGGATTGGTAATTGGATTTATTGAACTCTTTTAGGACGTGACTACAAGTAAGTATAGCGTTATCGCTAATGCACACACTGTGCACTGTCTACACCAGTCGTCCGGTAACGGCACCAATAACGGACGTTCCCCAACTCTGGGTTCCATAATTATCCCCGTGCTTCTGCTACCAGCTTCTAACGGCAACAGCTTACAATGACTGAACCAAAGCAGCAGCCCTTTAACCAACCAGCGATCCAACTCGCTCCATTCCACTACACTAACTAAAGTAACTCAGTTCTGTCGGCCGAGTGATATAGCCTCGGAGCGGACCCATACAAGAAACCGCTTCCAACAGTACTTCCATTGTTGGCGCGGGCCTCTTCCTAGCAACGGCTCCAATACTGTTGCGCGTTTACGAAGCTGTTGCCTAACAATTGCCGTTATCTTGTTTCTCGGTCATTGCCCAGCAGCGGGTGTATATGCCACATTATTTTCATGGTGTCGTACAAAAGTCTGGCCAGAAAACATCGAGAACAGTAAGTTCTGGGGAAAAGTAATTGCCTACTTTCCTTTGACATGACGCGGATAGCATAGAAAACAAAAAATTAAGGGGACACAGCAAGATGATCCCGTAAGCCTCGTAACAAGAATTGGGGAATACACAGCAAGGCGATCTCGTATGCCTAAAAAATGAGGGGAAATAGACAAACAAGACTGCAAGATAATCTCGTCAGCCTCCTTTTATTCTTTCGAAATAAGAAAAGTAGGCTAAAAGACGACTTTAGACACATGCGCAGGTAGGATAATATATAAAGCGACCGCACAGGAGTAGGGCAGAAAATACGGATTAGTCATTTGGCGCAGGATAGGGTCCAAAGGCAGGATTTGGTGAACGCAGTAATGTACTTTCGGTTCTTAATAGGGTGTTTCATGGCAAACCGAGGACCTTGGTTAACTCATTAAATACTGAAAGATGATCGTGCATCATGGAATTGGTTCGATAGAATCCTTAGTATTCTAAGTAAAATTAGAAATATGTATGTATATACAGGATATCCGGATGAAAGGTATCCAAAATAAAATCATATCCCAGAAAGCATTTATTATACATGTTAATGGGTTACACCATTACAACAGCACAATAGACCACTGTAGGTCGCGGTGCAAGGTCCGAGAAGGCCCACCCTTTATACATTCATACACCATTACAAAGGGAAACTATCAAAGAGATTTCTGCGTATATAACTTTCACAATAAAGTTCAACGTGGACTCCCTTGGTGGCACGACAAATATCCAGACAATATTCGACCGCGTTCCACGTTGCTCGAAGCATGTTTGGTGTTACCGTAGCCACAGCGTCCCTTATGCGGGCTTTTAGGTGTTGAGGTCATTGATCTTAACCCGGTAGACAATGTTCTTCATGTAACCCCGCAAGAAAAAATCCACTGGAGTTAAATCTGGCGACCTAGGAAGCCAAGCGATTCGTCCACCTCTGCCAATTCATATCGCAGCCATCTCTCTGTCCAGGTGATTCCTAACATGGCGGCAAAAATGTGGCGGCGCATGCGCGTAAGCCGGGTATGAAAAAAAAGAAGATTTTCAGAGTTTTCCTTTCCGACGAGACAAACTGGATACATGTATGGCAGTTAGTTTCCAAGATATAAATTTTATATTTTGGATATCTTTCATCCGGACACCTGGTATTTTCTCGTCATGTCAGTTTCAGTCATTAAGGCAATAGAGAACAGCAAACTCTGTATTACAGCAAACTTCGAGTAAAATATAGACGCCTAATGCAGGTCTGTTTATTTCTAAGAAAATGGTGAACAGATTTGCGAAAGCACCTTAACACATAGGCCGACATATGTTTGTGTTGCTGAAAACACGAATACCTTAAAGAGAAATAGCAACGAGACGTAGTCACATTCCAAAGTTTCCGAGCCCTTAACAGTGATACATCGCTATAAAATCAGCAGTTTCATTCTTGAAACTTTGCCATCACGATGGATGCTTCTAAACTAATCACCAGCGGAATAGCGATATCATAACCAGCCGTGTACTATGACAGTGGTACGTATTGTAACCACGAAGCACAGTCACTTTTCTAGACAGTGCAGCCGTGAAACGAGCTTATGCGTCGAAACAACGTGAGCGTCTGACTTCCATCTTGGTTCGTGCTCACGGGAGTTAAAAAAACTCTGTAATTCACAATTTCTTGCCCCAATGTCTCCACAGCTGCCTACTGTGCAACAGCTGTTTTCATAATAACCTGTCTGGCGGCCGAGATGACGCATTGGCTAGCATTGGAATACTGTCTGTTTTTATAGTAAGCAGTAGTGTGCTGTTGATTTTAAACTAAAAGCTACATCCGATTGCTTCGTAGCTAACACAGGCGGCCAAATAAATCCATGGGCATAATTCTGTAACTCCCACAGCAGTCGAATTTTTCCATCAAAGTAGAAAATATTTACAATTCGACGACTCGGATGCAGTAATAATGAACATTCGTGTTTAGCTACGTTAGCGAGGTCCGTGAATCGATTCTGAGTGGGAGGGCTAGTCTGTCACCACTTCCTTAATTTATTCAACGCCTGAAGGCGCGGCGGACCCATCTCGTTTAGAATTCTCACCGTAACGATGTCTTATGCCCCTTCCACCAAGCGTGCAGGTTATAGCTGAATATGATATGACATGGCGCTTCTTAGGATATGGTTCAGAAACAGGAATTGCCTCTGCCTGCCGAAATTTATATGGACGGGTGCTATAGCTGTTCGTGATTTACAGATGTTATTAGGAAGAACGAGAATGGGGGGACAGGTAGCACTTATGAAAGATGAGCGAAAAAAGAAACTCAGTGGCTTTAGTCCTCAAGCGAACTATACCGACCGAGCGACCGCCGCTCTTCGGCGAAGTTAGTGCCAACTTAAGCGGATAGAGGGTGTCGCGTGGTCAGCACAACGAATCCCCACGGCCGTTAATTTCGGTTTTCTAGACAGAAAAGACGAGTAATGTTAACAGAATTTAAATTGGAGAACCTGAAGGGAAGAGCGTACGTGAGAGACTTGGGCACAGCTGGAACGGTACTGACTTATTACGGTGGATCTTTCAGAGATGACGTGTGAGGGTATGGACTGAATTCGTCCGGCAGAGTACGGTATCCGTTGGAGACCCCTTAAGATGCACGGTAAAGAAAGATTCGAGTGCTGTAAAAATTGGTGAACTTCTTGACTAGCTTAGCGACTGTCATGCAGTCCTTGCGTTGTCCTGATGATCTCAGCGACCGCATCTGTAGATCCTTTTTCAGTATGGGTGTCTTCCAGTTATGGAGCTACCGACGTCCAGAATTAAACTAGACGTTCCGTAACACAGAATTCTGTAGTGTACAGAACGCGTGACAATAACAATTTATTTGTACAGGTGGTGCGCCGTGAGGCAAGCGGCTTGCTCTCAGCCCACTACAGGATGGACGCTCACCCACACGTCAACGCCCTGCGTGAGGTGCTCCTGGGAAAGCGGTTCCTCTACCTCGTGTTCCCACCAGCTCATGGAGACTTGCATTCGTACGTGAGGCTTCGGAAGAGGCTGCGGGAACCCGAGGCTCGAAGACTGTTCAAGCAGATTGCGGAGACGGTCCGCGCCTGCCATGATCGAGGGATCGTGCTCCGTGATCTCAAGCTCAGGAAATTTGTGTTCTCCGATGCTCAGAGGTAAGTCGAACTATTTATGAAGAAAACGATATGGCGAAGCGCAGAGTTCTTTTATTTTACATGAAGCTTCTTTGTGGCTTAGTAGATAAATGTATCTTTATAACCACTCCTATATGGTGGTTATTTTGTTATATGTTAATTTAAATTGACCTTAACTGGAGTGATCTGGCTAAAGACAGGGTCCAGAGGCACATTGAATAAGCTGCGATATCCATGAAAAAGACTGAGCCCTTATGACCGGCTAACTAGCCTGTTCAGAAGCACTGCACATTGTGAAGTTAGCTTTTTTGTTGCTTTCCATGTAGGAAATATTAGGGGAATACGTTCTCATACTTTTTATCCGAGTAAAACAGTAACCACGAGCATAAAAGGTGGTATAATCATACAGAGATACTGGGTTTTCGGACTTTGTCCGTCGTCCGGATTCTAAATAAACAAGAAAAAACACAACGTTTCGGAAACTGGATCCAGTTTCCGAAACTTGTTTTTTTTCTTATTTATTCTTATTATTTCTTATTTATTTAGAATCCGGACGATGGACAAAGTCTGAAAACCCAGTATCTCTGTGTTATACACCATCGTCAGAACCCTATAGTACGAGTATCTGCTGGTATAATCGTAGTTGAATATGGGAGTTTGAATATTCCTTGAGCAAATAAATGATATTTATATACCATTTGCATCGTGTTTCATCACTGTAGCGATCAGTTAGAGGCGAAAACAGTAACAGTAACGTTATCATCAAGTGTGTGTATTGACGCAATGTGTGACACGTTGTGAGCAAGCTCTGAACATTGCCATCTCGACATGTTGCAGTTGACACTTCGAAAATTTAAGTTATTGGAACAAATAAACGCAGCCGAAAATACTCAAACATAATGGTCACTAAATTCGTTTTGAGGTAGCATAATTAGCAGGAAATTGTTTCTCTTCCGTATGTGTTGTAAATCAAGTTGTGCATCTTCTCAGGAATTCGTGTCACCAACGTGTGTACAATCTTCTAGGCGTAGTTTCCTTTGTAAGGCAGTGTCACCTGCTCTTAAGGCGCCATAACTTAATCTTCTCAAGTACCTATAGGGCAGGGCCGTCCAACTAACTACATGCGGACCGGGTGTTGGAGTTGTGCGCCCTGGGATAGTATCCTTCCATTCCCGAAAAGAAGTGTTAACGTTTTACCTCTTAAAAAAGGGACGAAAGTGCGTACTAAATCATGCGTTTACGTTTTCAATTTAGTTCGCACATCACTTAATAAGTAACTTAAAAATATCTCTGTAATAGACCGTGGAGGCCCACATAGGGTTGTGAGACGTCGAGGCTCCCACATTTTCTAGACAGTCGACTCACAGATGGCGGTGAGGTCATCCTTACGCGCCGGCCGCGCTTTACTCCCCAGGAAGATTCATGGCGCTCAGTTCTGTTAAAGGCTGAGTTAACATCATGGCCGTAGTGCCGCTGGAAGGATTAGGTCCAATGAAAAATCAAATGACCTCATCGGGAACTGAACCCGCAACCTTTCGGCCTGTAGCATAGTCCGTTCTGAAGTTGGACAGCCCTGGTACGAGTTTCATTTGAGTTCCAGAATAAAGGGAAGATTTTTCTTACAAATAATTAATTCACTGAGCTTTATAATAGAAGAAACAGCGTAGGTTCCTTTAGAGTAGGGAACTGATAGAAAATATTTTTTGATGAATTCCGTTCCAAGCTGCTGCAATACTCATGTCATTTATAAAATGCATTAAATTAAAATCGTTCTCCGGCTTCTTCACTGTCTTATCTTTACCCATCAATAACAAAAAACCTCGCCAATTAGCGTCTTGTGGCCCAGGGGAACAACCTGGCGAGCTACACATATGCTCCTCGTTCTCTGTTCTCAGTGCCCGATTCGTTTATCAGCCTTAAGTAATTAATTATTCTGTTGCATACTGCTCGTTATTTTGGAGCTAAAACTGTAACGTATTCGGAAGATGCTTGAAGAATATTTGATGGCTGTCTGTTCAAGACTCGCAGAACAGAAAGTGGTTGATGATAGTTTTGTTCGCAGAAGCGTGAAGACCGTTAATTTTCTGGTACTGCTGAGGTCCTACTGCTGACAGCAAGCAGACAAAGGTAGTCTGGGTCTTGCCAGCTGTGCCACGTGTGTATTTGTATGAAGCAAGCTCAGACCACCACCGTGTTGCAACCGGCTGCCCCTTGTTATCATGCAACCAAGGTCCTTTCCCCTCCATGTTGCCTGCGTTCCTTCTCAATACACAGTTACGAAATACCAATGCTGCTTGTTCTCAGTGTCGTCGAAATATTCCATCCAGGTCAAGATTCTGATGTCTTTACTGTCTTTGTGACAAGAGTAACTGCCCAATTTCTGTAGGTGTGTATGGAAAAATTGGTACTTGCGTAATGTACCGACAGTTTTGGGAGCACGCGGTGGCGTAATTGGATGAGGCACCACGCTGAAAGCCGGAAGGTCGTGGGTTCGATAGCCGATGAGGTCATTGAATTTTTCAATCGACGTAATAGAAACAAGTATCAGGAATCTTTCTGGCCGACGTGTAGGGCTGACAACTTCGCCGTCATCTGTGAGCCGATTGTCTAGAAATGTGGGAGCCTCGACGGCTCACTGCCTGTTACAGGGACAGCTTTACCTTTTTTACCTACAGAATATTTACAGGTGTCATTTCTTTGTAATCAGTCTGCTGTGATAGTGACACTAGTGCAGTCCACCAGCTTGAGCACAACTTTTTCTTATAGTGTAAAATGATGTACGTCATTACAAATACCGTTCGTAGTACCAGATATTGAAATGTATCGGATGAAACATGCATTTTTAACTTTTACATGTCGCAGTTCTGTGTTCGAAATTGTACTATCTGAAGGGAGATGTAATTTAATTAGCCATTTTGATGAAATAGATCAGAGTTAAGTAACGGGAAGAAATATGAAAGGAGATAAAAGGATGGGAAGAAGGGGCAATAGATGAAGATAAAGAACTTATCCCGCGTTTAATTTCAGTGGTCCCCTTTCACCGGTATTTAAATACAGCAAACGGAAGAAGTTATGCATTAATTTTACTGGTGTATTTTGTAACCAAATCGGTATTCGACGAAAACTTTTCGTAAATTGATTAACCTTCAAACTACCAGTCCAATCAGGTATATTGTTGCTGGCCTTCGCCAGCTTCGTCGTTCTTGTTTTGATGCCCCCTCGGGATCCATGTCCTGCTTCATGCTCGTTCATAGACTGTTATGTGTCTCGAAATGGGATCTACTCTGAACAATATAAAAATTCACTCCATACCTCACAGGAAGCACATTACCTCTCCGCTACAAAGCTCAACCGATTAATGCTGTTTAGGGAAACTGTCACTGTTTATTGTGAGAACCATATCGAACAAACAAATACACCACGTGGGCAGAATACAGAGTTTTATTATATTAAAGCTGCTGGTACATATAGTAACCACTGGACCTTAAAGGGTTACTAAATCCAAAGTTGACCATGTGACACTGATGTTCAATTGAACTGCTAAACGTTCGCGTAAATCTACTTCAAGTTGTGTGACCAGTGATTGGCGAAAGAAGTAACGGTATTATTCAAATGTGCTTGTCACCAGTTACAGTCAAAACACTGCAGGAAGAACTGCAGTACAATAAACGTTGTAAGCAGGGCTTAGACGAAATAAAACAGCAGAGAAGGGTGGGGGTACTAGAAAATTGCAAGATATCAGAAACTAAATGATATGAACAAAACGGAGAGTTTAAACAAACAAACAAACAAACAAACAAACCGTATACGTTACTACACGCATTGTTGAACGGGTTTAAGAATGTCAGTTAAGGAAATGAATTTTCTGTCACAACGATATTCCTACAGAGTGCATTAGCAGCAATAGCACATTTGGCTGAGTGAATAATCTTCAAGAAATGGTGACTATTAAAGCTACTCCAGGCCCCGATTAACCTACAGGCACATGTATACTTACAGTACAGTCGCGCCATAGCTCAAGCGGTTAGTCGATGGCTTCCCACCGCGGCGGCCCGGGTTCGAGCCCGGGTCTGGTCAAGTGGGATTTGTGGTGGACAGAGTGGCTCTGGGGCAGGTTTTCTCCGAATACTTCGGTTTCCCCTGCCAATCTTTATTCCAGCAGTTGCTCCACAGTCACCCTCACCTATCATCTGGGGCCGGTACAATAGGCCAGAAGTGGCCGCTCTACAAGGGACTTAGTCCCACTCCACTAGCAATAAAGAAACTAGTACAAAGGATGATGGAGCAACTGGAGATACTGGTAAGAAACAGAGCTTCGAGGTGTTGTCGCATGGACCGGAACTGTTTGAAGATATGTCATCAGCAGTGATTGTGACTCACACCCACAGACGCCTGAACCTGATACTCCTCGGGGTCAGACGATCATTTCCACCGAACTTCTCAGCAAATTAATGTATCCAACCTACGCCCTGAGAAACAGATTAATCCACAACGTGCCATTCATTATAAGCCCACACATCCACAGATCCAAACTTCGGCGCGATGAAGCGGCGTGACATCTTCAGATGATAAGGGCGTACATACTGATTGTGTTTTGAGCTACCGGTTATGTAATACTGTGGCGTATAGACCCGTTGCATAGCGGTAACTCCGTAAACAGCGGCCATTGCTACGTAACGCCCGCAACAATAGAAAAATTGTTTTCTATGCGATCCGTGCCGAGGTGTTATAATCTGGAGGTCTGGAGTAACAAAATTATGCAGGCAACAAGCAGAAGTCATATAAAATCATAACAAAAATGTTCGCAGTATTGTAAAAGGCGAAGCCCGCCATAGAAAGTATAACAGGCTTAAACTTGGCGGCGGTCAAGCATACGACCGTTCAAGTGACAAGACTGTCACTTTAGCTGAAGCTACTAGAAATAGGGCATAATCTGTACTGAGCCTGGACTGACAGAGGCTCTGCATATATTTTATATACATTTATTAGCATGTTTAACATGTAAGATGTAAATATCCTTT